TTTGGTGTATATAACATGTTTTAGTCCTCAGAGATATATCAAAGAGATAAGATGTTCAAAGTCATATTTAGCAGCTCAGTTCTCAAAGAAAATTGGAAGTATCGGCCAGGCAAAGAACGCTTGATCGGTCCATTTTTATTCTTTTCTGAGGCTATAAAGATTTTGGTCTCCACTGTGCCAGAAATGACTCCCTGCCTGTGCGTGTTGGAGCGCTAAAAGGTGGCGATGGCCCCTGGGGGAGAGGTCAGCCTGGCAGCTGCTTGTGTGCCTGTCTGTGGTGGGGAGGCAGAGCGGGGCTGAGGGGAGCTCTGTCAGGAGCTAATTGAGTTCGTCCTACCGGCGCTGACTCTGGGGCCAATGGCTTATCAGGCCACATCGCCTGAGGCCCTCAAGACAGATTTGCCCCCAGTTGGGGCATCTGATATCACCATTTCCTTGCCTGCTGATGTCAACCCGCCCCCCGAACCAAACACACACTCTCACGCACACACCTACAGGAAAGGATCAGCTAGTAGGGATGTGACGCTTAAATGTGTGAAAAGATGCTTTCAGGACATCTAACAAGAATTTATTCACTCCTTCAGTTTGATCTCGCACATGTTTGGTTTTTTGGTCAAGCGTGGAACAAAGTAAAGTTTTGTTATATATTACTCGCTGTGGGAATATCTCCAAATTGACTCTAACAAATCCTGAGTGTTCATGCCGATGTTCTGAATTTCATTCTCAGGTGAGAAAAGAAGGAGAGCTCCACAGCTCTCTTCTTAGAAGTTGAAGAGCGGCGAGTGTAGTCGGAGCTGCCAGATCGTTAGTCCGGCTAATCCTGGCCGCAGCCGCACCAGCGGAATGATATTAGGGATCTGAAATGCTGTTAGGATGGCCAGGTGGAATCAGATTAAAACCAAACTGCGCAGTGTGCGTTTGCGAAGCCCATATCCTTCTACTCAGCATGAATTTTGATCGGTACAAAGGGAACAAAAGGAGGAGGAACAGAGAGAGGAAAAGACAGGGGGGAGATACTGTGTCTTAGAAGAGAGCTGTTTCTTTGGGCAGCCAGGCAGCGGAATCTGAAAAAGCTCTTAGCTTGAGGAAGGAAGAAAGAACTATAGATTTTACAGCATCAAGTCTCAGATAGTTCAGCAAACCTTTTCCTGTCTGTTCTGCTCGTGCACCACATGAACTAATTACTACCTGCCCCCATATAGTGAATTATTTATCCCAACTATTGCTGCTGTCAAGTAATTGAATGCTCATAATTCATTTTCCGCTTACAATTGTATTTATAGATTTAAATTGGTCCTGTCCAGCAAGAGATTAGAAATATTTATAGAAGTATTGTAGACTTTTTGATTAATACAGCTGGTTTAAGTGGTTAGTATTCGCTCAGCATCATTAATCAATGTAAGCAGGCATGTTAAAAACATAAGCATATAGTGGTGGTGGTAATGTGTCATACTAGAATGAGTTAAGGGGTTTCCAGGCTGCACATTTATTATAAATGACCACGTTGAGCTGGAGGGGAAACAGTTAAGACACTTATGCAATTATGCTAAGTGTCACCCTGAGGATGGCCTTTGAACCGAGGTTAAGCTCACTCTGAATTTGTGAAATAAAAGCCAAATGGAGCAATCTCATGCCCCTTCGTTTTAATATATAGCCTTTAATAAGCCAAGTGCAGGTGGCCTGTCGTGCAGGTGCACATATCCATCTGAAACATGGAGCATAAAGCAGATGAACAGCGAGGTGTGCCTTAATTTATTGGGATGCAATCTGCATTCATTATCGAGAGCAGCAAGATCTGTTTTAGAAAGAGATCAAAAGAATTTGCATTCTTTGTGACTGCGATGAGGCTGAAGAGAGAATAAAGTATTTAAGGCAGATATGCACCAGACAGTTTAGAAATATTTAAACTGTTTATTAAGACAGGACACAGATTAAAAATACCTTTTTTTCAGTTTAAATTAAATAATCATTGTACAATAATGAAGAAAAAACATTAAAAAAACAAGTGACCAGTTACTACACCATTGACCTTAGCTTCCTAGTATAACTATTAAGCAGCATAGAGTTGATTTTTTTGTGATTGAGCTTTCCTTAACCATAAGAGTCTGTGTCTAAGAGAGCAGCTGGTATTACATTGCTCTGCAGTTTTTATCTGAGACAAAATTACTGGAGTTACATTTAAAGGTGTCAAAATAAGCATTCAGAGCCCCAAACATAATATTTCAAAATGCATTTCCTGTATTATAAGCAGACTCATTACTTAAATAATAAATTTTAATAACTGACTTCAAAATACTTTAAGTTGGTCTTAGAACAAATACAGCACGTATTATGACATGGCTTTTGCAAAACTGAGCAGCTGTTCTGCAGCACATTCAGCATTATGTTATTTACTTATATTCAACTCTGTTGAGGAAGTGTGAACTGAAAGTGGAAACAAATACTTTTTCTTTTCCTTTTTCATCTTTGTGAGATCCTCACAATACTGAAAACATGTTTATCACTGAGTAACTACCTCTGAAATAAAGAATAATGTAAGACCATGTTAGAAAAATAATATTTTTGGTTTCAATCATTGGTCAAGCATGAAATCGTCTCATTCCAGTTACCCCCTGATTTCTCGGTGCATCTCCGCTAAATTGAATCTCGTTTTCTCTAACAGGTAAAAAAAAAAGAGCTTGTCTGTTCATTTTTATACAGTGAAGACATAATACATGGAAGAACTTCAAGACCGCTCAGACAGAAGGGCTTATAACCACAAGGTCAACAGATTTAACGGGGGACATTTTTTTATTATTTATTTTAGCAGTTAACCTCTTTGTGAATTTCCAGAAGTGGTGGGCACCGATGAATATACATGACAGCAGGGAGGAGAAAACCCAGGAAGGAGATTTAATTTGACACACTGACCCCCATCTCCACGGGCCTGGGAAGCCAGGGTGAGAAAATAAGGTTGACCCAATGACCCCCTAGGGCCTGAACTCCTCCTTCACCCATCCTTACAATTAAATCAGCCTGAGAGAGCAGAAGGATCTTCGCCAACCAGTGATGCATCTCACTTCTTGTTTGTTCTAGGAAGCTTTGAGACATGTAAAGCCCAATTTAATGTGCCACCCTCTACCAGTTAAAATGTCAAAATGATTTGTCAACAGTGTAAGCTTTACTATTAGTTGGCAATATGCTAATGGGGGTAAGGCACAACTTGTGCAGTCTTGCTACCACTCTTTCTGAAACCAAATCTGCATTTTCATAGGTCGTGCAAGGCTCAATCTTGCTAATGCAGACATTGCAAGCAACCTCTTCCCCTCCATGTGGTGCCTAATGCAAAAACTGTGCATGCACGTTAGTGTTTGACCTCGCCATAACCCTAAGAGGTTACCGTGTGTCTACACAGCATCCCCAATACCTTGAGTAATTCATTTCCCTTCCTTTTTCACCCCTTTAGTTCTCTCTAAAGAAAATGCGTGCAGACACCCTGCACCGATGCGCCCTCTCCGACTACTGTTGGCTCTGAGCAATTTCAAGTTAAAGGTTATAGAGCAGGACTGGAATACATTTTATATAGGCATAGAAAGCCTCAGAGTGCATTTTGTGGCCACAGCCAAAAGGTTGCACTTTAGTCTGCACACGTTACAGCATTAGATTACATGTACTCCAAAATACAGTTATTAGACAGACAGTGAAAAAGTCAATATCTTGCCATCATGTTTCCTTTTGGTTGACTGCTGACTCAAGGAGACAAGTGAAGGTCCGCTGTGCTCTCTAAACTATTGAGATGCGATGCCCCCATCTTGATTTGTCCAGTTGTGTGTGTGTGTGTGTGTGCCTGTTAGGTTATTTGAGCACTCTTGATTTCTGCCCTCTGCCTCTCATTCTTTTTTTCCTTTCTTCTCTTTCAGTCTGCGTTTTTTCATTGCAGAGAAATGTGTGCTGAAATTTGTGTAGCAGTTGTGTGTATTTGTTTTCCGAAGGACCTTAACAGCTGCTGTAGTGTGTGGCTAATGAAGCACTTATAAAATCAGTTGGCGGGTTTATTTTGGATGTGAGGACATCGTGATTAAAAGAGCAAAGATTACAATAACAGAAGAAATAAATCAAATATATCGAAGAGGACATTCACTAGTGGTGAACTAATCAATTCTTAGTTTT